CGGATCCTAGACTGGCAGTACAACCATCCGGTGCTATGTCGATCTCGTCATTCGCATGGCTCACGAATCAGGGTAGTTCTCTGGCTTTACCGCTTCGGATATGCTCCCATCTCGAGATTTTCGGGATATATGTACGTCGTCTCCTAGGTGTCCCTACTGTCTGTCCATCATCGGGAGTTGCTATGTTTCTATCTCCAGGTATTACTGCATAGCGGACGCAACGTGGATGCGGATGAAATTTTCAGGATCATTCGAGCAATTTGAACCCAGACCGTCGCAGGAGAAGTACCTGAAACCCCGCATCCCGCAGCTGACCACAACGCTTGATGGTCTGACGCAGAACGCGTCTTGGCTCGAGGCGAATTTCATAGCTGTCGGAGGCTGCTCGGAGTAAAGAGAGCAAAAAAGCGGAGACGAATGGATCAGAAAAGATGTACGAAGTATGTAGGCGAAGGATGCCCTCCCGCAGGGCAGCATCGGCTTCGAGAATTACGATTCAACAAAATACAGGAACGAGTTCCCTTTCTGTTGTCGAAGATATCAACGTCGAAGTGAACGAGGGCAAGAGAAAGACTGGCTCCGAGGCTCGAAGGAAAAAATTCGGGGAGCGTACTGCTGACAGAATATCACCCCGTCTGGAGCTCTAATCCGGTCGATATCAAAGGCCAAATAGGCGTCGGTCAGTCGGTCGGTCGGTCGCTGGAGGGGGGGTAAGTCATCGCTCTCACTAAGGTCCCCTCAGATTGATCGAGGCGGCAGAGGGAAGCATCGAGATAGATTCGGTGGACATTTCCCGCTCAAGATACCTCCAGCGCCGACGATCATGGCCTAGAAGCGCGTACTGTTCAGCGGTGCCATCCTAGAGAATCTCCGTCCGTACACGGACGAAAACGTCGCCGCACATATGACGTGATTTATAGCATGCCTTTGAGCTTCCTCGCCTAAAAGATTTCCTCGTTCAGCATGGCAAAGGTCTCGCTTTGGAAAAGAATAGAGGCACAGCGAACCTTAGCTTTGCGCAGCGACAGCTCTCCCGAGGCAAATGAAACTTCGAGTATCCGACGAGGCAGCAGCCCCCGTCGATAGGTAGACGGACTCAATCGAGACGAGTTGCTTCAGGAATTCACGAACGCTACCACGCTAACGATTGCTCATAGAACCAATGAGATTATCGATGACAACAGGTGCGCTCAGAGATTGGCCATTCCGAATCTCGGAATCGGCGCACGGTGAAGCCACCCCGAAGATCTGCTTCCGGGATTCTGATTCTTTCAAACTATCAAGCCATAGAGACTGACACCCCCGAAAACCTCACTCCGATCTTCGATCCATCTCTCATCAAACGGCGGAAGACGCCGGCATGAGGAGAGATTTATGAACAGATTGCATGACATCTCGGAATGCGACGGCCTTTAAGACATTCAGCGGCCGCTAGCGGGCTCATTGGGGGAAAACTGTCCGGAGCGAAGCCTTCAGCGTCGATGCTGGTCGTGAGTGAGACCCGGGGAGTGCGCCATCCATTGACTCGGATTCACTAGTAGTTCCCTTCACTACGAGTCCGTTCCCTCCACTCTACAGGAACAGCCTCAAAAACGCAAGTGAATGTTCTTACCGCCGGGCGAGCTCACGATTACTTACTCTCTCCTGTTTCCCGGAGCTCCGATTCGCAATGGTTCTAGTGCCTTCTCGGTTGATGAAATCGATCGAGTACACGAAACCGTATGCGGTTATCAGATATCGCAGTTTCCTAAGGTGACGTACATATGTAGACCAGCTGACGACACGTGCGGAGCCAACACGTTTCAGCGGTTTTCTGCTCCTCGTTCACGCGGGAAGGAACCGAGGGAGAGAACCCGGGGAGCCGCATTGCAGGAGCAGCCTCCTCGCAGCGGGAACAGCATTGGCTTGGAAGATCAGAACCTCCTCCAGTCTCCCTCTGAGAGGTCCACGCAAGCTGTTTGGAGCTTTGCATATCGCGTCGAGCGACTTCACCAAAACGAAAGCCGCTCAAAACGATGGCCATGCAAAGTTGGCGATCGAGATAGGGCGTGAAAGAGAGCAAGTTGCCGCGCTGATACTAGAGCTCACCAGTGTACCCAAACAAGGGGGTCGCTTCGCTGACGACTCGAGCACGCCCCTCGAGAGCGTACGTTGCTCGCGTGCGGGATTTGGGCTGATATCCTCTGACTCATGCTCGTTCGAATCTTTTTCGATCACATATTCCATCAAACGCGTGAAACAGGTTCCTTCCCCGACGTTGTGGTCCCACGTCCGACTGGCGAATAGAGGCTCAACTCCCGACAACTCTCGAGCGTCTTCATCGTCCCGAGCTCGGGTGAAGTGCCGAGATGGGTCATTCTTCCGCTGGAGTGACTCCTCTCTGGATGCATGCCGACGGAAGACGGGAACTCTAGCGAAATTACAAGGAGTCAAGATCGACTGAGATCGCTGAAGCCACGAGCAGACTCCGGCCCTGAATCTTGCATCATTTTTTTGCCTGCAAAATCCCGGAAGGGGATAGAAGGGGAACTCGGGGCAGGGGACAGCGAGGGCTTCTCAATGCGCGAAACGCCCGGGAATCTCCGAGCAATTTTCTTCGAGTCCTCGGGTGCGTTCGCCTGCTAATCGGATCTCTCAAACGTTCATGAGCGGATGGCCTTTCCTCCAAGCTGCTCCTGACTCGCGGTTTCTTTTTGAGCTCCATTGGAATGATTTCGTGAGTTTTCGGCTCCACGAGCCCCTTTTGAGTGTGGCGGACATCTTCCATTTGATCCTCGATTCGATGCTCTCCGTCACGTCCGACGGCAGTAATCCGAAAACGACCTGTAAGGGCACGTTATTGCGATTCCCGCACTGCGAAAGCCTTCGATTGGATCGCATCGATTTCATTTCTATTTTTTTTGGGGAGAATACCGACTCGAGTCGCCCCGGGATCTAGATCCATCTCGTCGCCATCGCGTGGAGATCCCATGGGGGCTCTGGTTTCGGATAAAGACTCAAACTTGGCACTCTGAATTGATCGCCGGCTATAAAATGTTTATGATTGAGAATATCCTGATGTCGCCGTCGCTTAATGCAGTGTGCTCGCGTCGGCGGCTGAGCGGCAAACCGTCTTGTTCAGAGATTGCCTCCAAGACGATAATGGCCATCCCTGAAATTTAAAGCTCATAATTTGAACACTGTAATTATTTACCTCGAGATAAGCATCGCGCGCACGAGTAGCAGAAACGTGCTGGGGCGTTGAATCTGATCTTTGCGGAGGACGACAGTGGCGTTACCCTGTGTACTCGTGACTAACGATCGACGAGAAAAAGCGAAATTTAAAAGCCTCCGAAATAGCCGGATATTTCTAAAGCCTGTGTCACCAAAAACTCATTTCCCATGAACCTGGCACCCCACGACACGTGATTATTCTGTCGCACGATCAGGAATTTGAGATCCATTCCACTGACCCTAGCTGCAACAGTGAGCCCCTGATCCGCGGCTTTGAACCTCGGAAGTCTCGCATCGAGCAAACACCAAAGATGTCAATACCTTCGGCCGGACGGAAATGCTTTGATACAATTACGACCTCAGTCGAGGGATACTCCATCAACGGTACAACGCAGCGGGCTGCGAGTCGAGCGGTCTACCAAGCCTCAAGTATCGCTTCATAAACTTCAATGTCCGGAACGTGACCAGTGTGCTCGAGATAACTTCAACGGAGCGCCTCTGAGAAGCACATTCCGAGTTTAGGAGTCTCGCGCGAAGGCGAAGTGACTGTTGCTCCCACAGAAATGGACGCTCCGTGAAAATGCATACTTCCTGTGGCAGGCTCGACGTGGAGCTGAAATATTGAGATCAGACTGGCGCGTCATCAGTTTGAGTGTCGGCCTCTTGGAAACTCAAGCCCACAGAGAACGACGCCATTCCTCAGAGTTCGGAGAAAATGAGGGAACGACCGGAGAATTCGCTAACTCAAGCGGTGATCAGTTGATCAGCGATCCCGATGCGGATGGGGTCAAGTTCTCCGGGACAGTGCATTTTGAAGGATCCCGTTCAGCATGAGCACTTATGGAATCTCGAAGTTGGCGAGTTACCTGAGAATCTGACCTCGAACTCCTGATTTATCCCCGAGAACATCTCTCCGTTCCGCTGTGGATAATCCCCATCCCACTCTGGGCTTCCTCGAAGAATTCGAATTGGATAGCTGTTTAACGGATCCTTATGGGACTAGGACCTAGAGTCCACCTGCTTAGTACTAGGAAGTCCCTCAATATCGTGAGAGCACATGCCGTCACATGTCACATCGAGGCACCAGATTTCGCTCAGTCACTGACAATGGAAGGAGCCTCAGAATCCGGCGGTGTATTTTCGATTGTACAAGCGATGATTGCCCCCCTTCCCCCAAGAGGTATCAAGCAGAACGAGAATTTAGTGCTCAGTAGTTTTTGTTCGCACGTCGAGCTTCAGAAGTGGCGGAAATGCTTTCTGCTTGATGGAATGTGCCACCTGATTTTTCGCGTGCTCGAAGCGGGCCCGCCTCCTCGTCCGTCATGAATCCATGAGCTGCGAATGCCGTTACATCGTGTGTCCTGCGTGCGTCACAGAACACTGTCCGAAATTTCTGGTTCGCTTTTCTCCTCTCTTCCAGCTCCCAAGAATCACGTTCCCCATTCAGGCATTGGGCTTCCGGGATTCATGCACGACGACGCACGACACATATAGTCCTCAGAGAAATGAGGAACGCTCCAGGATTCCACGCAGCGCCTGTGCTAGTCGTCTTATCATCGCCCTTAGTCACCCGAAGGTACTCTAAGGGGGGACGAACTCCATATAGGAGAGACCCTCCGGGAAGCTCAGGTGGCAATCCTAATTTGAGGGCGAGGGGGGTGGGGGCAGTATGAGCTCAACTAGGAGGCCGATAGGATGCAGCGACCAGTACCCTTGGGAATGGTTCCGGGTTTCCGGCTACCGAGATAGGTTTCCGTCTCGACGGAACAGAGGAAAGGCGCAGATCATTCTCTCTGTACAAACTTACAACCGCTGTTTATTCCGAATCGAGAAGAGGCTCTCGCTCATTCGTAGAAAAGAAGATTTTTCTCTGCAATTCTCTGCAATCATTAAGCGGACAGAAAATCTCATTCGTAGAGTTCTTGATCATTTATCACACTCGACTGACGCCCATCCGATCGAACGCTCCACAGCTGATGACGAAACGATGGGGTCAAACGAACCGTCCCATCCAACTGATTTTAAAGCCTCGCGCGCCTTCACAGTATCCGTAGCAAAAAGATATGGGTCGCCCGGTGTTCATGGTTCTCTCCGGATATTTCCTTAGACTCTACCACTCCATTCGATTTCAACGAAACAATACCGCCCTCTGAACAACAAGTGCCTTCCTGAACAGTAGCCTGACCGCGACGACAGCAGCTAGAACACCGGCATATATGAACATGAGGCCCGCCTCGGAGTTTGTCGTATGTGGAGAGAGACGAAACGTCTGTATCTCTCTATTCACAGCGTTTCATAAGTCCGGCCTGAAGGAGAGACGCCTGCTTGCGATGTCGATCCGTAGTCCGGATTTTGGGAGTAGTTGTCTCGGGTTTGGCATGTTATCACACGAACGACGAAGATGCAGCCGTCCTGGAAATGAGAAGGAAGACTGAATCGCGCAGAAGGAGTGACGACTTCTGAGGGAGTCATTCTGAATCTATGACAATAATTATCGCCCGGGAGTCTCCAATGAATTCGAGCCTATCAAGCCTCAGAAACTACTTACAACGACGTAAGATGGGAAATTCTTCCAGAACCAAAGATGTGGAATAAGTTCCTCGCCGCGCGCTCCATTAACATGATTGTAAGTGATTCCCCCGAGGAAATACAGAAGGAACAAAACCAAGAGGCTGGAAGGCAAAGACCGTCAGTCAACATGATGTATTCGTACCTTCTCACTGGCCGCAAGCTCCACCCAGAGCATCAGCTCATTTCCGGCGTTATTCTGAATCGTCAACGACGTATTTGAATGCGGCCGGTCGTCTCGATTCTCATGATACGATCCCATTTAAGGGTTCCTCCTTCTGTCTACGGGAATCCCGATTCCGTGGACTGACTGGGAACAGCTTGAAGTGCGCCCACTGTACTCACATGATTATGAATTGACTCCCTGTCCCCAAACCCTCCCGTTTCTTGCATCCCATCGCGTGCTTGACGAACACTCGTACCTGTAGGGTGGAGAATCTTTGCTAAGAACTCACGATCACGGCTTCGGGGAGATATAAGCTTCCACGGTCAGCATTCGGTAAGTGCAGAAAAATTTCGAAGTGAGAGCTTACCCCATTATCCAGCTTTGTGGTATCTTTCGATTCGATCCACACTGCGAGCCTATCTTGTGAATCGTCTCTCAAAATGTTCTCAGCATCGCAGGTGAATTCGATGATGGTATTCTGCGTTGCATTCCCTTCCTCAGTCTTGTAATGGAGGGAGAATCCCTGAACATCGCTACGCTCTACAATCGCCGGCTCGCCCCCTCGCGCCGTGCCCACTCCATTCTGTTGGAGGCAAGCGAAAGCGCCCGCTGGGCACAGCGTCGAAGTGAAGCATGCGCTGAACAGGAGTATACAACCGCTCGAGGTGTCTTTACATAAAGCCTTGTCAAGCAGAACCGCCCAGTGTGACCTGGAATACAAGGAGTTTTCGTTCGTCAGATGAAATACCCTAACGGTGATTTCTCCGATTGTGTTTTGAAACAAGGGTTCCGTTCCCTTCGAGCATGCGCCTTCTGGTCGAGTGGCACTGGTCCATTCAGTATCAATGACAACCTCTTGAGCTGTCCTGGGAAATAGATTCTTGTCTTCACGAATGGAGATATCAATTATCAAGACGGTAGCTCGATTCTCGAGGGAGCCAGACGCTTCGAATTACTGTGCTATGATATTCGATACTTTCAGAAACAAACACAACACGTGATCCCTAATCTCTGGCTCAGCCTTCGGCGAGCGCGATCCGACGCCTAAGGATAAAAATTTTGGCTTTTTGCCGTGCGGGCCCCCGCTCATTTCCGTGGAGATTCTAGATGCGTGGTCGATCGATCCTGCGCCTGGTTGCATCATTCGGTTAAAATTGGAAAGCTTGAGCCCGATTGTCGCTGATTTCGAATTTTCGCGAGCAGCGGCAAAGTACCAGCTGTCTCGTCTGGCCACGCTTTTTTCCTGATTCCATCCGAAGACCGATGGTTAATCGTGGCTCCTGCTCCGGCTCGTTGTCGAATCTATCTCCGTTCGGGGAAAAATGAGGGGAGGAGACGCGCATGGAATTTTTTTCGGATGCTACTGATCACGGTGTCCAGCCGAGCACTCCCGGTCGGAGTGGGGGTCTGTCAAGGCGGCAGCGGAGGAAAAAAGCGACGATGCTCCTTCCGCCGCGCATTTCGACGAATGATGGTGATGGAGCAATCAAACGAGTCCCTCGACTCGAAGCCGTCTCTCGGTCACCTGTTGACTCGAAAACGTTCCGAAGAACGTCAAAATATGTGGTGCGCGACGATCCTCACTCACTTGCTCAAGGGTTCGAGATCGTATCCTTTCAATTGGCAAGAGTCGTCAGCTTGACAACAGCATGCCGCAACCGCCACTACCGCGAGAACCTCAAAAATACGTTTCATGCTTGCTTCCGTCATCTCCTCTAGGATCGGCCGTACTCCACAGCCTCTGTATGGTTCGGCTCTCCGATAATCGAGATGCGAGTTTCCATGTGTCGATGAACGCATTTTCGCGACATAGTGCGCGGGCGCTCAGCTCACGGATAACGGCGCAGAGCTCGTTCATGACGCGGTGCAATGCTACAGACTCGCTCTTCTGACGGAGCAGGCATCCTTGAACTCTCTTTGCCGGGGGTCGGCAGGAGCTTGCGTGACTTTCCCGAACGGCGAACGTCGTGGACGGCGAAATTTCTCCTTACTTACGGTGCCTCCGAAGAATGTCTGCCCGCGGTTTCGATCGGCACTTTCCCTACTTACACCATTCTGGAATAAAAAGCTCCCGTCCATATCCAGGGTGTGGAAGTGAGCACGCGGGTTCAGCCACTACCTCGCTGCTCGCCGATCAGAGCAGTCTCCATTGTTGACCAACGACCTCATTGAGCTGAGGGATAATAGCCATCGATCGCTGCGAGTATGGTAGCGTAGTTCTGATAGTTCGCTCCTTCCTCAAGAATACAAAGTTTCCAAGGATGTACATTTGTCGATGGATTGTGTTCCATGTGTGTCCGTGCTCTCGCTGCACCCCTCCGGTTCGATCCGGCGGTTTTCTTTGTTCGGCGACGGCGATCTCCAGAGCGTCTTCCGTTCAAGTTGATTCAGCGCCTTGATTTGCGCTCTCCGTGTTGACCTGACTCCCTTTAATCTGTGGACCTGTTGAATGCAACACATCGGTGTCTCTCCCTGCTCGGGGACATCCGTGACGGGGAAAGCGCGTCATCTCCAGAAGCGACTGATCTACTGAATACTTTTGACCTCAGTCAGCTGAGCATCGTCTGTGTCAGGAGCGTCATTAATGACCCAGGTGGAGTGGGAGCCGAGGGGTTTCCATTTGGCAAACATTGCGTACAGGCCACGCCCTGTGGGTACGCTCGGAGTTCCGTCGTCAACTTATCACATGTTGGATAGGCGGTCGGCCTCAAGGACGCCTCACAGTTATGCCGACGACGGATGCAGCAGAGGTAATGGTCAAGTCTTTGATGAAAAGAGGTCTTTGATGAAATTGGTAATGGTCGAGTCCCATGCCCAACTGCATGGCCCATGATGAACTCCATCGACGTGAGTTCGTGAAGCGGGGAGTATTCCGGCGCGAGTATCAGTTGAGCTCCGTGTTGCCGGCGATCATTGAAACTCCTCGCATGTTTTTTTTTTGGGAGTCCACCTCGAGACATGCTTCGCTCTTGAGTATGAGGTGAAAGTGTAGCCTGAGACACCGAGGGCCCTAGCGACGCGATTCAAGGTGTGTGGTAGATGATCATTTATGTTCAAAGCTCAACGTCCGAATCTCTGGAGCGAGTCATCGATTCGACGAGAACATAACGTGTGAGAGCGCCGCAGGGTCGACGTGACAATCCACGACCCTGAGTCTCACAATCACGTCGGGTGAGTATGGAGAGGCTGAGACAGAGGAAAGACAGAAGATGATGCGGAATGCCACCTGCTGGTATAAGATCCAAGACATGCCTAGAAAAATGATTGGAATGGAAAACTCGCGTGTGTGTGCGCCGACAGCTGTCGGGCTCGAAGACAGGATTTCCGGAACTATCCTCATATGTCGACAGGGTTGCACGAGTCTGCGAATCGTTCCGGGATAGATACTCGTGTTCTGGGAGCTTCGGGGGAAACCGAGGATTCTGAAAAACTTTCGTGAGCTAATCCAGGATACATTGGCCTTACGGGCTAAGGTCGAAAAGTTTCCGACGGGTAGCTCGAATATGCCCAAGATGAAAGCTCATCTCGCAGCCGCGCAAACCCGTAGGGAGCGGACCGAGCCACGCCTTTATCCTCGGAGATCGGAACTGCTCTTTGTGGACGAGCGAACGACGTCAGAGTTTCGTGAGGTGTGACAAATCCAGATTCAGGGCCTGCTCCGCAAAGACGGACGGGAACCCAGAAACGCCCAGTGATCGCCGGAATATGTGTACCTTCTTGAGGAATTCCTCAATTGGATGGAACGTCCCATTATACGGCATCCCTTAAATCGATGTTGAAATCTGTGATTCGTGCGTGCTGCGAGCGGTGAGAGTCGTCCGGAGATCGTGGCGAGCAGGAGACCCCCGTGATCTGGTTTGCGATTGTCTCCGCCGGCTCAAAGCTGTCATCAACAGTCTTTCTCAAGAGGATCCGGAGACTATAAAGGTGGCCTACCATCTTTCCAGCTGGCGACGGACGGGAAGGACCGCATCCGCTGTTTGTTTTTCGTCATCGAACGATGAATCGATCAACTCACGAATTTTCCCGCTGATGACAGGAGACTGTCTTCTCGGCAACCAAGGAAGAAGCCCCGACGACGCAGACTTTTTTCCCGCGAGAATTATCGATACCAACAGAACCTCTGAATTCACCTGATGCACCTCGATTCTTCCACGTGTAGCCCGTCAACTCGGAGTCCGAGTAAAAAGCGATCAGAATCGTCAGTCGGCTTTGGCCGAAGTCATACCGCAGAGAAGAGGAACTCTATGTAGATACTCTCTCGGGGAGGACCGGCGTTCTGTCATAGTCACCGGAAGCCCACGAGCTTCCTCACCACTCACGACGAACTGAGGCCGATATCCATGAAGAATTGCGAGAAAACTCATTCCGGAAAATCTGCGATACACAGCAGCATACCAGATAATATCGTGACCCAGGACGTTGGCGAGAGCTTCATCCACGGACTTGAACCGCCACCCTATTCTTCGCGACGACAGTATACAGGTCTCGGACCACCTTGCGCAGCGAACTGCTCTGAGAATCGTCTGCTCAGCAAACACTTGTGAAGGAAATTGAATGTGACTGACAATGTGAGTGAGTGAGTTAGTTCCATCGATAATTCTAGAGTAGAGGGAAAAGTCTTCGTTTGGATAATTACTCGAGTCGGCGAAAGACCCCCATCCCTCTCCCTCACTCTGTCATGTCACTCTCGATACCCTGCCTCCAAACGAGTCGGAGTCTATGGAGCCTTCCTCGAAGCAAAACGTATCTATGCATACAGACAATCACATGATCGCTATGAGCAGCTGGCTTGTCCTTAGAACTGACATCGCAGCAGAGTGGATATTCAGGTTTTCAATAATTGTGATCGCTGATGAAGCCAGAGTCGCTCGTGGTGGGCCGAGCACTATTTGTGAATGACGGCAAGGCTGTGGGCTGGTAAGCGTGAGTTTCAGTCGGCCGACATCAGGCTCGCGGCTGACACACTGCGCGGCGGAAATCCACTGATCGGAAGGGTATCGTTGAACTTAGGCTTTCCAGGATTCGTGTGATTGTGCTGGTCGTGAGAGCGTCAGGCTCTCTCGGGAGCCTGTACGGGAATTTTCCTGTCGATCTTCGCCGTAGGGACTCACTGAAATATCCACTGATGTACATGTCTGATGTTCTCCAGGCTCCTCATTATTTCTGTACCGGATACCGCAAGGATTGTAATACATCAGATTCGGAAGAGTGGGGAGTCTGGTCGTGACCAGCAGAGCCTGATTGTCGATTTACTAGGTGCCGCTTGGATTGGGATAACCGTTCAGATTCGACAGTTCCCCGGACACGTTCAATGGCTCAATAGAGATCCCGTCTTTCCAGGTTGTCTCGAGCAAAAATATAAATTCTTGAGGCATCGAGCCATGCTTTCCACAGTCGACGCTAAGCAATCGCTGGAATACTTTCTGAACTTGCCTCAGCCGAAGGACCGTATCCAATGCACTTACATTTGGATCGACGGTACCGGGGAAGGTCTCCGATGTAAAACCAGAACCGTGTACAGCGAGCCAGAGAAACCAGAAGGTAGTCCGAGGAACGATGACTCGCGATTCAGGCCCCTTACGAGCGCAGACCACGAGCCTAGAAAGGGGTTTCGATTTCAGAGCTGCCGATATGGAACTTCGATGGATCGTCCACAGGCCAATCCGACGGAGCCAATTCCGATGTGTATCTGTATCCCGTCGCCATGTTCAAGGATCCTTTCCTTCGGGGACCGAACAAACTGGTCATGTGCGAAACATACACTTGGGAGAGAAAACCTCATGCGACCAACAAACGGAGATCCTGCAAAGAAGCTATGGATCGATGCGCGGACCAGAAGCCTTGGTTCGGCATCGAGCAGGAGTATACCCTCCTAGACACCGACAACCATCCATACATGTGGCCAAAGCAAGGTTTCCCAGGGCCTCAAGGTGAGAAATGGTCCAGAGGGGAGTCCCCCTCCCCTCAACCCGCCGGAGTCGGGGATAGGAGTCCACGGCGATATACATTCGATTGGATAAACTCTAACACAAGTATCACGGATTTCCGTGCTCAGGACCCTACTATTGCGGCGTGGGAGCGAACAAAGTGTACGGGAGAGATTTGGTCGAAGCTCACTATAGAGCGTGTCTCTACGCCGGAATCAACGTTTCCGGGACGAATGCCGAAGTCATGCCGGCCCAGTGGGAATACCAGGCAAGAGGGAAACCGCGAGAAAAAGACAAGAATGAAAAAATCGAATCTGAGCCCGATTGCCATTAGCTCAGGATTCTGTCTGGGACACAGGTAGGGCCTTGCGAGGGGATCGCAATCGGGGACCAACTCTGGGTTTCGCGTTACATCCTTCAAAGATGTGCCGAAGACTTCGGAATAGTGGTGACTTTCGATCCAAAACCGATGGTCGGTGATTGGAATGGCGCAGGATGCCACACGAATTTCTCGACTCTCGCCATGAGGCAACCGGACGGGCTGAGGTTCGTGTACTCGATCGAAACCACCGAGCGGATGAGCAGAAAGAAAACAACCCGAGGCCATTCCGCTATAGGCTCCCGAACCTCAACTAATGTGGGATTGTAATCTTCAGAGAAATCCACACGGCCATCGACAAACTCAGCAAGAAACATCTCGAGCACATCCGTGCCTACGACCCGAACGGAGGCAAGGACAACGCTAGACGATTGACTGGGCGTCACGAAACTTCTTCACTAAATGAGTTCTCGTTCGGTACCGCGAACCGTAGCAGCTCGATAAGGATCCCTCGCCAGTGTGCCGAAGATGGCTTCGGATATTTCGAAGATCGTCGACCGGCCTCGAATTGCGATCCGTACGCCGTTTCTGAGATGATGGTCAGGACTGTTTGTTTAGATGAATGAATCGAGTCTCGAGTGAGGAGAGTGGCTCGATTGCTGAAATCCACGGTTCTAAAGAGCGAGATCAGATATACGGAAGCCCCATAAATCGCATTGAGCGTGGTTCGCTCTATACGGGGGAACTATACAGGAATCTGGCGAGCGAGGAATCGTGCAGAAAACCCTAAAGCAATTCCTTCACTCCTCCATCAGACTCGGATTCTCCACAGATACTTGGAGAGTCATAAATTCGATCGTAAATCAGGAATTCTCAGCTCCGCAACGGATTAGATGGGTTTTCTCTCTCGGCAAGCCTCCCAGAAGTCTAGGTGAAGATATTTTACATTACTCTATCTCAGCGGCGTTCACACAATTTGGTTTGTTTTTGGACATGTCACCCTCGCGCGATCCGACGTGGTCCTCGATATTCGTTTGATAACACCCTATGAGAGAATAAACGTGACCAATTCCATTTATTGTATTTCTCCTCCTCCCCCATTCGGAAACACAGAAAGGTTCTTTTTTACAGCCTGCCAAGATTTGATTCCGTATTTTTCGTCTCCTATATTATCATCGCTCCTCTCACCATTGTACATTGATAGTAACTTTGTTGCGAGATTACCTCGCGCAGGGGGCATTATCATTAAATAGATAGCATTAAGCGTATATCAACAACTATCTAGGACTGACTTGACTATCTTAGCTCCGGACTCGATACGCCGGCATCGTTCGGCTCGCCAAGATTCCGCGATTGAATTGTTCCGGACTCTCCCTGGTTCTATGACAGACATCCTAAATTTAGTATTTGACTTCGTTCGTTGGTCTGAAAATCGGCAGCACCGAGGGGAAGTGCGCGGGGTTCCGACCCCTTTTCAACGTGCCGTCCGCGTTCCTCATAGGATACGTAGCCATGAGGATTGGCAGCTGCAGTCGGATGTCCTTTTGGAGGCCCTTCAGGATGATGACGAACTGCGGAGAATATCTGACTTTTAGTTGAATGTTTTCCCTGATCGGGGTGGGTCAAGGCTGAACTCCGCTCGGTACACAAGTTGGCCGAGGAGCGTCTCGGGGGAAATCTTAGTATCGCTTAGAGCCCGGAGTTCGGGGACCGCTCTAAGGAACTTACGAAAACGTCATATTGTATGCGTATGAGGTGACAGCCCCGCAAATTCGTCGGTGGTAGAGGCGGAATGTAAAGCAATTCGTTCTCCCAAGCTGACTGCTGGCGCGGCTCGATCTTTCCCTTCTCAATGGTTGCGAGTTCTCTCATTTCCGTCGCCACCACCTGTATAGCGAAAAAAAAACTCAGGAATTCACAAATGCTCTGGCAATCCAGCTCGAGTTTCTTCACGGGCCACGCTAAGGAATTTCGATCTCCCCGAAACTGATCTCGCACGCTGAGGTGCATCGAGGCAGGGATCGAGGCGGATGGCCCGGACGAAGACATGGAATCAATCCAAAGCCTGTCGCGATCCGGACGACTCACTTTGTTTTTGGCGGTGTACTGGATCGTTTCGGTGAGGATGGCTTTAGTTTTTTTGACCGCGACTCGACTTTGGTTGTTGATGGTCGCCTTGAGTCCGATGCTTTCCCCGGGCACGTAGCCTCCCTTATCGAGACGCACTCGACAGCTGATACTGCCTGACGAGAAGCAGCCCTGGCCTATTTTTTCCTGAACTTCACAGTTGAAAGGTTGCTGGAATGAATTAATCGGACGGTGACTATTCAGAGCAGTTCGCGACACATCCGGCATTCCCCACCGGAGGGAACCGCTAAGCGAAAATCTCGAATATCGAGCAAGAATGTCGCATTCTCCCGGTTGTCACAAGGAGCTCGTTCTACGAGCGAGGGAGGCAGCGAGGTGATCTGCTGATAGTGTTGCGGGGCGATGTCGTGTCAATCTGCCGCCTGTCACAAAAAGCTTGCGAATCCCCTCATTGGCCGGCGAGCGTCGCGTTCAACAGTTTTGTGAATCTCAACACGATACGATATGGACAGTGGCGCCACGCCCCGCAGAAACGATATCCAAGGGAAACAATGAACGGGAAAATAATGTCCAAAGGCGGACGGGAGCTCCATCCTTTGAAGCCTGGCTGACGGGCACCGAAAGCGGTAGCCGACAAAAGTGAATGCCTTCGGTGATACAATGGATCCCTTCAGACACAAGCAACGAGAAAAGATTGTATCTGGACGTTCGAAAGAACGGCGACGTCGACGACAGCAAGAACGCCTACTGAAGGAGTCGACTTTTTTATGTAGAAACGCGATTTCACAATCAGCTACCGTCGTCCTTCTGGATCGATGGACCACTTATCGGATATTCCATCGAGCGGAAGAGATTTTCGAACTCTTCCCCGACGAGCGCGAAAACCATCCGTCGAAGCTCGCGAGAATTTCACGTGTACAGCCCTCGAGGGGCCGTGTGGAGTCGCGTCACCACCACGCACTCGTTCTGCGATGAAGCGGCCCGCGACTGAATTGGCTTCGTCGCCTTGAAATTCCGACACCCACATGGGGGACGTTAGTCACAGAAAATCCAGCGAGATTCGCGCTAGGCTTCGTGCAGAAGAGAAATGTGAGAACGGAAGCGATACCGCATGCATCCATGGAGCGTAGTATGTGAAAATCAAATCCCTCATCAGTTGAAAAACCACCATTTATCCGAGGGAATGAGACACTCGATCGAGTGAGTCGGGTGCGAGAGTTGAGAGCGAGGCCTAGTCTGGCGACTCCCGACCTAACATTCCCGAGCTGGATGAGGCCTCGAGTGCAGGAATTCCAGCCAAATAATTCCTCGACGAATCGCTCCTTTGCACTGGATAATCTGTCCTGCGGCTTCAAAGCTCTCGCGGGTAAAGCCTAAATGTCTTCGTACACTCGGTACTCACCGTCAATATCGTTGGCTCGAGGTTCAGATCTATCGGACTCATGACGATGAAAACTTGCTGGTTTTTATGCGTAAGTCCGCTGGGTTCCTTCAGGGCTGCTTTACAGAAATACTGCACCCAACCGTGTTTGCCGAGGAAGGTTGAGGGCATTCCTGGGGGAGAGATTTTCCTCAGGATTTCACTATGGCACGTGAGAGGAAGACCATTGCTCTCCCGTGGCAATAGGATTGGGAAATACGATGATCGAGACTCGTCGGGAAAGAAGGAGGGAAATCTCACCTAGAGGGAGGCCTAATTTGAATGGGAACGAATGGACTCCCGGCGACAATGTGACTGGTTGCTTCGAGTTCTCTCCGAGGAGCCGCATTCTAAAGTCGATATAGTTTTCTTTGTCCTGCTGATTTGCGTTGCCGGCCATCTTCACGATGCCTTCACCAACGATGTGGAAATACAATCCTGGAAGAGCAATGGTATGAATCGCGCGGAACTTTCTCCCGGGGTCCCTGTTACGTTCAGCTCTCTAGGATTCTGGAATGCTGAGCGTTGGCTGCCATGGTCGCTCCTGTGGTCAGCGTTTCGAGGAAGTTGTTGTCGACATATTCCAAAGTCTACATGTATGGGTTCTGATTTTTGAAATGGATATCCGTGATACGGACTCGTGCCATAAATGAACGATGCCCTGTCGGACTCGAGCCATGTGTAGATCTCGAGGAAGTGAAACGAGAATCACAATGTATAATTCCCCAACGGAGACCCCGCTAATTGTCTCAGCGCCGCATTCTCGGTGTTCCCCGGCCTCGTTTCTGAGCCAGGCAAATCTACGGTCGCAGTTGGCTGTCGAGAGGGTCCGCAATTGTTTTTTGCACGGTCATGGACAACAAAAATTGTCATCCTCGATATCGACTGGCCGTGTCAGCTCCATAAGGTCCCATGGGGTCTGGAGCGGCTGAAAGCGGCTAAAAAATTGAAAGCAGCTAATGTTTACTTCTGTCTCCGGGGAACTCCTAATAGCCTCTCTTGCATCGATATATAGAGGAGTTCGTCTGATCTTTCGCATCAGCTCTATCACGATCGCTATTGTGTCACCATAATATTTACGCATCCTCGTACGAGAACAATGCGACGCCCTTAGAGACACAACCCGCCCGAAACAACGGAATAATTCTGATATGAAGCCTCTTTTCACAGCTTCCGTCCGCGAAATTCCGAATTCATGAGACGCTAAATGCGTGACACAAGTATCACCACTCGGAAGAATATTCTATACGGCTTCTAGCTTGTTGAGAATATTGACTCAGGATTGCTCTTACGACCCTCTTCGGGAAACACGCGGTTAGAACACCATAACGTTCATTTTATTTGCGGTTTCGGAAACAATATTAATGAGCGTTGTTAAAGCAATTGACTAAGAACTTTCGGGGGCGGACGGCTCCCGACAATCCCAACGACGGAGCTGCTTCGGTGCGAAGGAATCGCTGATGTCTACGCTTCCATTCTGTGCGATGTCGACTTGTTCGTTCGCGGTCGGCTTCACTTTCATTCACAATGGGTCATAACGGAGTCGGCCTCAACACGCTATGGACGATGACCCTAGCGGGGCATCTGCCCACCACGCCAGATGGCAAAACGGAGGAGCGCTGGTTTGCGTTCGAAACGTGTGATGCAAGTCAGAAAGCGGTAGAAGATTAAGGGGAGACTTTTCTGACGCGGATCTCGCCTAATAAAATGCAATTAGATCCCCTATTCTCACAGTGTCACTCTACGTGACCTTTCACCGGCGGCTCGAGCTGGTATCGCGCTGAGCCTGCAGGGTCATCAATCATCATGATGCTACCTAGTTCTCCGGGATATTTCTCCAGATTGACCGAAACGAGTATGGGAATCCGATGTCGCAAGCCTCTATCGACGATGTGTTGACTGATTAAATTCGACGGGGAAACTTCGCAATGTCATTGGAAAACAGTCCCGTCGGCTGAAGCTTCTGAAGGATTGTTCCGATGTGCAATCGCAGAAGAGACGGAAAATGAAGCCAGGTAATCATTTTAGCGAAGCTCAATCAGTTTCCTCTGCGTGAACGAGCAACGGTGCGTTCCGCTATGGCCTTGACGGGGCAATTTGTATATGATCTGTCTGTGGGTCCGTTGCCAACCGTACGATTCATCGCTCATCAAGATTTGGTATTTTCTCAAGACTCGAGAGCGAGCAATGAAGACCCTTGGGGAGGGATCGAGGAATCCGACGCCGAGAATTCGCGACACGATTGAGTGTCACGTGTCCCTTCCATCTGTTCATCAGCGAGGAGCGGAGTTCCTCTCGAGAAACAAAATGTCACCCAAGATTCCGAATCTACCTACTACATCTAACCCCGACATTTCCTTGTGTATCCCATGAGATGAACATGAATGAGATTTCGAATTTGCTTTCCCATTGACTGTAATGGGTTAAGACATCGCAAGGCACACCCCGATTTCGAGCGATGGGCTTCCCGGGCGATGTACGGCTGAATCATCATCGTATAAATAAATAAACCGTATAATCAAGCACCCATTAAGACTGACGACCCGGGAACGGACAGGTCCACAAGACGCTCGCCGAAGTTGCTTCATTGGAACCCGTTCGATGTGGATGGACTTCCGTAGACGACAAGCAGAGAGTACTAAATATGGAAATGAAGCGCGGAACACGTCGACGATAGCAACAGCTCCGCTGACCACGACTGATGAATTCGAGCGAATTTTCCAGGGTATACGCGGCGAATCAAGAAGGCCATACTGCTTTTGATTTTCGGAAGAGCTGCGACAAAGAGACGTCTCTGGCATGGGGCCAGTCAAGGCTTGAGCGGAGTAAAAAACAACATTCGGTCCGTAAACCAGGCTGAATCCGCCCACGTCATGCTCAAACCGACCTTCTCAAGAGAGCGAGTTCTGGTACTTCAGACAGAATCGTCGCTTCCGATGACTGCGCCCGTACGATTCGGAAAATGCGAAAGTCAAACGGTATCGTGCGATACAGCCTTAGGCTGAGCACGGTATCAGCGCTACTGGATCCCTAGAGGAAGATCGTGCAAGCATTCTCAGTATCGATCGGCAGAGTCCGATTGTCCGTGTTCGGCGTTGGTACCTCGAGGGAGCGAGCTACCTCGGCCTGTGACCAGACTTGTTCCGAGCCTCCGAGATGTAAATTCGCAGAATTCGCGTTTCTGGAGGAGGTCTCCTGCATGATACTGAGCATGTAGAGACGATTTCAGGAGTGCCAATCGAACGGTTTCAGCCCTCATCGCATCGCCACTGGACCCGGAAAACCATCCGCGAGAGGCTTGACAGAGGCCACAATTCATGAAAGCAGGATCCAATCGAGAGAAAGACTGAATCTAGAAGCTCATGAGGGGCTATAAGAAAGCGGTGGCGTAACTCTCTTATCCTAAATGTTTGAGCTGTTGGTCGCGGTCATAAATCCACTGCTTAAAATAGATCCGTTCGATCAACTGTGCGGAAAACAGCAGACTTCGCGCCATCACGGCAGACAGAGCGCGACGTATTTCCGCTGAATCGAAGGTCATGGCGTAGGCGAACCGACATTTCGAATAAGTGCTTATGTATCGGTGTTTCCGAGGCACGGCCCCTCTCGAATAGGTCCTGACAATCTAGAGATGGCCGTAGTTCCGCTCCTGTTGATACTGACGTATTTTCCGTCGGGATGAGGAACAGACTTTCCGTCAGGCGGATCGCCCTTGGGAGACGGTCGAAGTAGACAGTTTCGACGGGCAAATGCCGCCAAGAAACAATTGTCTGGCGAATTCGCTCGCGCTGTGATTTCGTGGATGATCATGTTTTGTTCTAATATATATGTATTCTTCAAACAAGGGAACAAGCAAGAGAATTGAAGAAGTCCTTGGAAGCGATGCAAGCTGTCAAATGCATGGGAATCGAGCCAGATCTCGGCGAGGGCTCGGAGCAGACAGCCATCTAAGGTGAGCAAACCGAGACGAAATGCATCCGACGACTCGACGAGCTCTTGGAATGGTCTCTGGGAAATTGATCGGACGCGGAATTTATTTTGTTCCAGCGAGACGCTTTCGGTCGAGTCTGAGCGGCAGAGTGACGAACAGAAAACACAATGGTTGTGAGAAACACCGGGAACATCTACAACCTGACTCACCTTGCACCGGAGTATCGTCATCCAGTTCAACGATCACCTGCCCGGTGAGGAACGATCCCGGGAAATAAAGCAGACTCTCATTGTCCAAGACGATGAGAAACTTCGCCAGTTTTCGGTTGCTCATGTCTGCTGTCGTCACAAACCGTCCGGTGCGGATACCTAGACACCTGGACGGGTGAACACTGCGCTATACGATGGTAATCCAATAGCTTTGTCGAGACCACGGCGGCAGCGGTCCAGCGTCACACGCGGGAACCAGGGTCCCAAGGAACTACGCGGGTTGACACGAGCCCAGTTATCCGGAGCTGGCACGGAATTGTCAAACCACAGATGAACGTTTCTTCCCCATGTGATGCGACATTCGTCTGGAGATTCCTACGATCGATGTCACTTCACAGAGAAAACTTCACTCGCGCCGCTGCGTGGTTCGCGAAGTGTGGGATGGGTGAGTGGGATAGAACGGTGCGCTGAAGCCGCGGCGAACAGACATCGTAGACAGACACATGGCGGCAGTACCCCAGTGGGCGCAAGGTGAAAGCAAGAGAGGGTCTCCCGAAGTCGACAATCTGTGCAGAGGTTTCCAGATGACATCTCGACAGAGTAGCGTGGACCGAAATTCCTGCAGATGAGCAAATCCATCGGAAATCGTGTCGATTATCCGAACTTCGAGCTCGATGCCGGGGTGAATGCGACTGGTAGAGAATTGAGGACTTACATTCCCACCTGAGCCCTAGCTCTGTCCAAGCTCTGTTTTTGGAGTCCAAGAAAAAATTCAAGGCGGCGTGGGTCGAGAACGATAGTTTCGCTTCAAGTTACTCAGAATCTTCATTCATCCATGGTATGCTTCGGAAGTCGGCGCTAGCGGAAGTACAGGAACGAGAGAAGAGATGTACTTGTGGCTGACCGCGAAGAACCGCAGCATTACTCGTGTTCACTTTCCCGCGCGCAAGGCAAACACTTCTGGTCTTCGCGCACTGCCGCACAGGCCATATAACATTAGATAACAGCCTGCCAGCCGCGATCAAATCTTCGGTATAGATATTCTGGAACTCATGCTGTCACAGATTCGGGTTCGGCACTCTGATCTACTGAGGATGTCGTCCGATAAGGGTGCCGGGAGATGAAGCCCCAGGAAACTCGGGCATCCGTCGACGATCCCGGGGTGGGGGGTGCTTTCCCTACGCTGATTAAAACGGTTCGAAAAGGGTCTCGGCCTTCACGAAGCTCTTGGGATACTGAATTCTTGAAAGGAGAGCTAGGCTGGTCAACTTTCGAAGAGAGGGAAGCCAAGAGTAAAATCACATACTTCAAGCGCATACAACAGATGCCCGACGAAAGATGGGCGAAACGAATGCTTACCATGATTGGCATCAACAATGCCAAAATCAAAGCCGTAGAGAGGATGAAAACGCTTTCATTGGAATATGACTGCGATAAGATAGTGGTCAAACGATCGGAAGCAGGCGAAGCCTGCCTGAACACATTCAAAAAGAGTGTGGAAAAAAAGATCCGAGATTTAGTCCATCAAGAATGGAGAGACGGCATGAACAGAAAGCCCAGCCTCGCAAGGTATCGAGAATACAAACAACAATGCGGTACCATTGACCACATATACGACAATAGCAGAGGAAGTGTATTGCTCGCACAAGCGAGAGCCGGCTTCCTCAGAACCAGGAAATTCAGGTCAAGATTCGAAGAGATTGACCCGAGTTGCAGGATTTGTGGTCAGGAGGAAACTCTGGAGCACGTCCTGATGGCATGCCAAGAAAAGACATGCGGTGACGACGAGATTCAAAAAAGGCTCGGGTTACATGAGGAGTCTGAAAGGCGAGTCACTAACGATACTAAGCGGATTCTCGAAAGATGGGAGAGAAGGGAGGCGAAGCCACCTACACCCCAGGTGTGAAGCGTCACATAGTCTCCAGCGATCGCGCCCCCGCAGTCGGGGTTCCTTTAGAAATGGAGCATAAATCAATCAATCGATCAACTTCCTCCGGGTTCTTTCCTGGACGCCGATTGAAGCGTGCATGAATCGTTGATTGATCGGATCTCTGGAGAGAGGAAGGCAGGCAGATGAATGAAGGAATGAGTATAACTGGTGGTCGCAGAAGTTTCATAGGCTGCATCCCCAGTTTTGATCATCTGGAGCTCCGTGAGGGGTGTTCCGAGGGCCGCCACACAGCCGAAGTCACAATTTCGTTATTTGAAACACAGCTTCTAAATATCACCCTCGGCTTCTCGTATGAGTCCACGGGGACCCCATAATGGCGATAACGTTACCGTTTCTGAACGCGGGCGAGGTTTTATGATGGAGTTCATACGGTGAGGGAATCTCCAGTCCTGGATGAGCTCGGAATCCGCCTCGCAAGAATCGTATTCCTCCACATTCTGGAAGCCTGTTCGGACCCTTGTTGGAGCCGGATGTTTCCTCCAGCGAACCGCACGATCCCCAATCGACCGCGAACGTGGCGTCTCCCCTGTGCTCCAGTGGAGCCTCGCTGCAAGAACCTCGCGGGACCGAAAAAATATGCTCGTTGTAATGAAAGTTCGCTGTAACGAATGTTTTCCACCATCATCTCTATTGCGAGCCCGCCAAACGGAGAGCGAAAAAATGCTATTTATCCTGAAAATTCAATGTCCGTTGGCGTCCGTTGCCTCGAGATTTCACTGCATATGAGTCGTTGTCGATGAACCTCCCGGCGGCCGTCTCCGAATCTCACTGCTCATACGAGGTGTACCGATTGGCGAATCGTAATATAGCACATATTGGACTCCCTAAACGCTGAAGAGCTTTATCCGGTCAATCTGCCTCCGCTTTCTCGGATCTACTCCGCGCATCGCGAGCTTTCCGATCGTGATCATTCACTCTTTCGTTCAGGGATTCGATCCATCGTTCGTCCCTGGGACGAATTCAGTTGTCAGGAACGTCCGGAGGGTCGGGACGGACTCAGGAGCGAGGTCTGATCGTGCCTCTTGGCTCGCGGGGCGATCCCCACTCTCTGAGAGCAAAGCACCGAGCCGAAGCGAAAATTCCTCGGACACATACCCGGATGTTATCCGCTCGCGGGATGAGTTGCTCATCCGGGAACAGGCGTGAATGCAACGGAAAATGCGTTTATCCCTTTCCGGCTGAATCACACAGGTTCCGTGTTTCAGCCGAGAGCGTCGACGGACGGCGCTCCCCTCGATGTATCCCGGGTAAGAGCATCCCATGCATGGACAGACTTAGCACAAAAGCAGCCTCGGGAGCATCCGACAAATGTCTAATTAGGGCGGGTCAGATCTATTTTAAAGTGTCGCATCTGACATTAGACAATTGAAGGGCACTCCGGACGTCAAGTGCCCTTCGAAATCTTCTGAAACTCCTCTGGAAGAGACGTCCTCCTCTTTTTCCCCTGAGCTAGCGGAGCTATACGGAAAGTCAAGTTATGATGTCTCGTGGGCATCGACGCCCGACGAGTGCCACCCCAGCCCCTCCCGTGCTACGGCGACCCGGAACCGTCGGAAAGGTCCGGTCAGAAATGAGAATTGAAGACTGAACTATGCTTAGGATGGGAGAGCTTCCTCCGACAACCAAGGTCCTCGCCCGCAAGAGTGCCTATTCAGTGGATCCGAGTCGCTCTATGGCTGACTCGACTCTCGGAGAAGGCAGTACTGAGCGATGATTTCCAAACGCTGGATGCCGCTTCAAGGTTTCGAGAAAACCACTCGGAAATCCGTTGAACCCCGTACCCCATGGTGGAGTTGAGTCCCTGGCTCCGATCCGGCACGGGTTCGAGACTCTCTTGCAATCTCTAGTCTGCAGAGAGACTTTTGCCGAGGAGGTAGCCAACTTATTTTCTAGTCTTTCACCTACAGAGATGCAGCGTCCCCTAAGCGTCGATGAATCGTTTCTGAGAAGGTCGAATTGTCCTGATAATCGAGAGGAGAAGAGTACAACAAGTATTCTCCATTAACCGTAGCACGGGCCATCGAGCAGCTCGGAACTTTTATTGGACATGGGAGCACTTCTTGTCATGTCCATAGAACCTAGGGTATGTATACACAAGATCAAAAGAGGAACAAATCAACTTTCTCACACCTGGCGTGGGCACTAGGCCTAAATGGAAACATAGGACTGACTAAGAAGGAAAAGGTTCCTCGAACAGGAGATGGAGAACGACTCTGTTGGGTTCCCATCTTCGCAACTTTCACCTGGAGTCAGCTGGCGATGAGAGACTAAGCGTCTTTTTTAGCTTCAGCTCCGGCTGCGATCTCCTCCCCCTCGCTGGTAGCATCAGTGGAGGTAGTCGGCTTATCGCCTGGGAAAGAAAAATCATGAGTTTTAATGGAGAGTAGGGCACTTTTTGTCGAGACTTTCTCTCTGAATTGCTCCGACCATATCGGCTTCACGATATTGTCGAGGCGGAGCCGATAGTCCAGAGGATTCTGTAGGCTTCCGAAGCTCATTGAGAGTCAGGCAATAATCTTTCCCCGGAACATCCGGGATCCGATGGGCTCGACCCTCAATAACAGCAGGCGACAAGAATAATTATTGTATGACGAGAGGAGTCAAAGCTCAATGAGGTTCACCGACCGCTCGACCGCACCGACTCGGCGTAATGCCCTCGACTATCAAATGGAGGCTACTCACGTTTCTTAATTGGACAGCTCGCAGTGATTTCGATCTTCTTCTTCAATCCGAGCTTCTCCAGAAGCGGTTGCAGGAAGCGCAACAAGATGAGAACCAGCGGGATCAGAGGAGCGAGGATGCACGGAATGCACACCATCTTCGATCTCTAGAAGTCGCGGCTCGAATTCGACCTCAAGCAAGGGAAACCGATCACCGTTAGAGCACAAAAGGGTCACACGAATCGAAAAATCTCAGCTCGCTTATTCTCCTTCGGGATGACTGTCAATATGCAACGTATCCGTTGCTTTGCTTTTATTCCGCCTCAACGAGCGATCAGTCGCATCGCGGCGCGAGGACAGCACCCATCAGCGGCCCGGCGGAAAAAATTCTGCTGGCCGAGCGGCTTGGTTCGTCTGAGATAATTTTTGGCTGTACGATACATAAACTCTCGAATTAGTCCATAGGGAAAGGATGAGAATTGAATTGAGGAGAAAAACTCTTTCGATCACAGTCGCGTTCTCGATCCGAGTTCGTGATCGACAGCTGCGCCCTCTCTCCCAAACAACAGGCACACACGTGCTCCAGAGCTCTCCTGTTCTTCTGATGATATGCGGTGGTCCCGGATATCTTTCTAGTACTCCCATCCTGTAATTCGCTACCGATAGCAATGAAAATCGCGCGGAGTGCTTCGACAAAGGCCAAAAAAGGAGCCAAGTGGAAGCGCGGCGCGGCCTGTATATCGAATCCCTCGAAGAGAAGATTCCGAGATGCAGTGAAATCTGGAACGTTCAAGACAGTGGTGAAAGGTGCGTGGAAAAATCGAGTCCTTTCCAGAAACACGCCGCATAGGTTGCCGACATGGAATTACGACTCGCATGGACCCGGTATCCACTCACTCGGCTTGACGTTCCATCATTGATGCGGAGCCGGCGGAATTCAAGTCGGAAAATCAACGAAAAAAATTGTCCACGCTCCTCTGACACTAACGAGAAAAATTCCATGAAGGCCTGCTGCTTAAGTCGCGCGAAAGCGGGATCGAATCAATGTTGAATCCTCGAGAATGCTCCGTTCGGCTTCGGCGAGATTATCAGAACCCTCTGTGACGCATTCCGAGCTAATTTGAGTGATGCTTCGATTTTATTTCAGAGAGTGGTCTCACTGCCGACGCCCTATCGGTTCACAATGCCAAACTTGGCTCAGCTGACGTGAAATCGATCCTGAGAGAAAGTGAGGGAAGATCCGAAGACTCGGAAGTCGAAGATGCTCGATCTGCAGCTCTGACTTGGGCGACGGATTTCTCTGCCTGCACCAACATGTCCTTCAATCGGCTCCTGGTATGATACCTTTTCCTCGTCGTTTCTGGATCTGATTCCCGTTCCAAACGGTCTTCGATATCCTTCGGCACGGCCTAAGAAAAGATGCTTCCACATTTTCCGCAGACGAATTGGGATCCTTCGAGCGAGCTTCACAAAGAAATGCTTGCCGTCCTGGCCGCGGTTACCGAGTGCATCAAAGAGAGCAAGGGTCAGGAGACGGACTCGGAATACCTTGGAGCGCTTCTGACGTCTCTGAGTGATTTGAAATCAGACATGACGACCACCGCCAAGGTCGTCCTCATAAACATGGTGATCAAACGCGTGCCGCCGTCCCTGATTCGGCATCGCTTTGCTGACATCGCACGACAGCTCTACAAGTTGCTGGAAGAATTCGAAGACTCCGAACACAACGCGCTCCTCTGCGGCTTGATAAACATCTCGTCGTACGTTTGCAAGCAGCAGGACATCCGAGATACGTCGCAATGGACGGATCCGGAGTCGACAACGTCGATCCTCTTCACCGCTATTTTGACGTATATTTCGCACCCGAAGCCCCGAGTCAGGAGGGCAGCCCAGAAAAACATTTGTGGCATCATGCGATCCTCACCGAACCACCCGTCGGCGATGCTTTGCGGAATTTACGTCACGGACAAGCTCGAAGAGTTTCGGAAAACAGGCAACAACGCTTCGCTCTTGAGCATTCTGAACTTCCTCTCTTACGGTCTGGCGCTCCTCCCGCCGAAGAGCATCAAGTCCGTAGCGGAAAACATCCTGAAAGCGATGACTGGTGGAGATCCGTACGTCATGGCTCAGGGTCTGGTGGCGATCTCGAACATGTTCATGTACGAATCGACGCAGCTGGTCATCAAAGCCGAATTGAACGCGAAGCTTCTCAACGCGCTGTACGATTTCCAGCCCGAGGTTCATGACACTCCGCGTCTGAGCCTCTGGGTCATGGTCATGCTGAGCGCTCTGACGCATTTACACAAAGCGAACGTGAATCTGTTCGCGATGAATGTTGGAAAATTCGTCTCGGTAGCAACGAACGTTTTCCTCTGTGAGAACGAAGCGGTCCACACGGCCACCGAAAAAGTGCTCAGAGAGCTCCTGTCACTCTGCTCGGCGACGGAACAAATCATGGAAACTCTTCCGGGGAGTCAAGTGGCCCCAGCCGAGAAGATTATCGCCGCGCTCGAAGGTACTCTCAAGTACCAGTTCCACTCGGCGTGGGGCAGCATATTCGCCGTGTGGGGAACGGCATTCACGAGTCTCGCAAAATTCATCCCGGATCGACTCGTGGAAGTAATTCCAACGCTGGCCGACCTGAGAGAAACCGATGGGTTCGAATACGTCGGTCAGGTCGACCGAGCCATCGGCGCCGCCGTAGAATCTCTGGGACCCAGGAAAGTTCTGGAGAAAGTTCCTCTGAACATAACGGGAGTCAATGACGATGACAGTTTCCCGAGGAGTTGGCTCCTCCCGATCCTCAGGGACCACATTCGGGAGACGGAATTGAAGTTCTTCATAGAGTACTTCTTCCCTTTCGCTGGCAACCTCAGCAAGGCAGAAACTAAGGCGAGGAACGAAGGCAAAAAGCATCTCGAGGTCTGCTACCGAGCCCTTGGCAACCAGGTTTGGTCTCTGCTCCCGGCGTTCTGCACAAAAACTTCCGATGTCGAGGAGACCTTCCCGAAAGTAGCTCAGACGCTCGGTGTGCTCCTGAGCGCAAAGCCCGAGCGGAGACTCCCCGTGCTGTCGGCTCTGAGGAAACTCATCGCGACAAGCCCGGAGCCGGAGCGAACCGTGGGCCGATACGCCAAGAACTATCTGCCGATACTCTGTAACATCTACGTCAAGAAAGACGAACCCGAACGTTTGGCAGCGTACGATACGATTCGTTCTTTCGTGGCGGTTACCGACCAGGAACTCGCCTGTAACGTTTTCAAGACCGCAATGACTAAAATCCGGACCACCGAAGGCGACGACGCCGAATTCGTCCGGATGGCGGCGACTGACATCACGAGGGCACTTCTACCGAGGGTCACCGAAGCTGAGGGGAAAGATCTGTATGAGCATTGCATCGAAAGCCTGAAGAACGGTCCGAAAGCCATGCAGAAAAAGGCTTACCTGACTCTGGAAGATCTCTTCAGAGCCGAGTGTTGTCACGAGTTCGTCGAAAAGCAATTGGACGACCTTCAACTTCTGCTCGTGACCTCAATTTCAAAAGTGGGTTTTTACGGAAATTCTGTGCGCACCATTGGCTCAGGAGAAACGTGCCGGGCGTATATCCGAGAACAGTGGTGAACTTAGAATCCAATCTTTCTTAGGTGTCCAACGCGGCTAAAGCTCCGCGTCTCCGATGCATTAAGAGCGTTTTGTCGAGTCTGAGTTCGCCGAGCGAGAAGTTCGTTGTGTCCGTAATACCGGAAGCGGTTCTGTGCTGTCGCGAGCCTGCTGCGAAGATCAAGCAAGCTGCTCTCGAAGTGATCGTGGAGTGCGCCGACGCACTACAGAGGTCAGTAAGCCCTCATCATACGCTTTTCGATCCAAAATTTTGAGCCCTTGCTCTGAGGAAGTTCTCAGAGGTTGGTTCCAATTCGAGTACGAATATTTTCTACTCGTTCGTATAGGTGGAGTATCCCGAACGCTTTCCAGCAGTATATATCGCTACTGATGGGAGGTCTGGCCGGCTCTCCGACTTCGATATCGGCCGCGGTGACAGCAATAGCGCATTGCATACGACATTACAAAGAGCACCTCGTCGAGAACGAGCAGCTCCTGAGACAACTGGTCGAAGCCGTTTGCACGCTGGTCGTCTCACCGACAAGAGAAATCGTGAAGTCGGCGCTGGAATTCATCAAAGGACTCTTCACCCTGATCGAAATCGAACAACTCGCGAAATACGCAGACCTGATTGTGAGTTTCTCAAACTCCCCCGTAGGGTGGAACGAGATAAACCCTGGCTCTGGATAGATCGCACTAGCCGGGAAACTTGTCTACAAATCACATTCTTCGGAGGAAGGTGGTTGGATGAGTCGCTCCATTTTCATTCTCCTGTTCAATTTCCCTCCGCAGATCGAACGCGTTTGCAATATGACCGCAGATTGCGGGAGCCACTTTCGGGTCAAAGTCAAGGGTATTCTAGTCAGGTTTGTTCGACGATTCGGATTCGAGCTAGTCGATCAGATGGTTCCCGAGTCGCACAAGAAAGTGCTCAACAATATCCGGAAGATTGAGAACCGACGGAGAAAAGGAAATAGCATGGCCAGCGCGTCGACTGGAAACGACAGCGACGACGAGGACGCAAAGACCGTCCAGAGTCGTCGCCGTCAGAAAGAGAAGACATTCGAAGACATGCTGGGCTCGGATTCGGACGATGAGTCCGACCAGGATAGCGCGGCCCGAGAATCGGCGAAAAGGAAGAAGGTGAGTCACGGACAAGGCTCTCAAGAATTCTCGAAATTAGATTGGGAGCCCTGTCGGGACGATGATCTCATTTTATTCTACATCGGAAGAAACGCGGAGTCTGGCTGAAAGAAAACGAGGGAGAGATCGTCGATCTCATGGATCCGTCGGCGATGAAGAACATCTCATCGACTGATCCGGAGAAGTATCGCCAGAAAGTCGCTCAGCGTCTGAGTGCGAAGGAGGAGGCGGAGCAGGCTGGTTTCAAGCTGACCGAAGACGGGAAACTCCTCATAACGAACGACATGATCGACAAGGAGGACAAACGTGAGTTCATCCCGCTCCAAATCCCGCTTCAAATCGAACTCTATGGAATCTGGGGCGCGGAAAATCTGTATCAGAGTCCTGAATAGGTCTAATTTTCCCTTGGTGAAATCCACAGGCGGTAAGAAACGCGCTCGTGAACAAGAAGACTCGGACTTGGAGGATATCGATGACTTGCTGGGAGCTCTGAGCGGATATGCAAAGTCCTCGAAACCGAGATCCGTGAAGAGTACCAACACAATGAAGTCAGCGAAGTCGACCGCTTCCGTCGGCAACGAGTACAGGTCTAAGAAGGCTAAGGGAGACGTGAAGTCCAAAGGACAACGATTCGATCCATACGCCTACATACCGATGAGTCGGTCCACTCTCAACAAGAGGTTAGCGAACTTAAGAGCTACCCGTGCTACCTTCTCCTACAAACTATATATATAAAAATGAATGTATGTTTGTCTGTCTGTCTGTGTGTCCGCTATAGACTCGAAAACGGCCGAACGGATCGTCGTGAAAACTTAGGAGCGTGTTCTCGGAGAACCCAGGATGGTTTTAGGGGGGCAGTTCTCCGATGCGATGAGTAAAAACGCCTGAACCGATCGCCGCAAAAATTCAGGGGTGGGTTCTCGGAAGCTTCAGGAAAGTCACATGAGGGTCGTCGTTCCCATGTGATGGGGTCCCTACACCATAAAAAAAAATCAGAGGTGGCAGCAGAGCCACTACCTTGTAGAGTAGTAGAGGACGTGAAACTTCTTCGGAATGGCCATTCGTAAGACTCGAGCATCGTCATTATCCCTTTAAACTCAGCTCGTCATAGGGTGTCATTTTTGCCTCCAGGAGTTGATCTGTGCGTGTGGGAATTCCGTAGGAAGTATATGAAATTGATGTGCCGTAAATTTGCTATCTAAAGACAGTGTCGATCGGTGTAGAAGGCACGGAGCTGCAGGGCGTAGAAAATGGACAAGTTTCGTCACACTTTTGGTGAAATCCTAGGCCAACCTTTTTAAAGA